TGATCAGCTCTGAAGCTACCAACCTCCACAGTGGATGAAAGATCTTGGTCTACGCACCTGAAGTCATGTAAGGGAACAGAAGAAAATATGTGTCGATCTGAATAAAAGATCAGTTTTTAGAGGGCCTGATTAAAACAAGGCAGGAGAAAAACAGATACGGCTGTTACCAATAACTTCACACTACGGCCAAGAAAAAACACCTCCACTGAACAGTATGTGTGACCAGTCTAAACAGATGTATTCTTGAGCATTGTTCCTGTGCCTTTTCTGAATATGAATGCTTTCCATACTTGCTTAAAACTATGAAGAAAACAAAAACAGAGCAAAATGTGTATCACTGATCATTTATTTTATTCTTGATTTTTTCCCCTTTTTAGAAAACTGGGGAAGTGAAAACAATACACAACAAACACATAAACCTAAACAACAGATGCTAGATTCTGTGACATTCACCACGCTGTAGACCCATTGGTAAAACAAGATAAAACCCAAGCGCCCATTTATAGACAGTACGAGCATCGTGAAATGTCAGGGAATTTCCTTTCAACAGAGGAAGCCAAGTGCAATAGGGTGAACACTTAAGCAGATCCTACTCCAATGATCAAAATATAAATGTATTTCGTGAAGTCTCTGATTCCAGACAGCTGCCCTCACTGTCCTCTTCACCCTTTTATTGGAATCTCTGAAACCATTTCGCTTGGGGGGAGAAAGTAGATTTTAGTAGAATGGGAAACATGCCAGACATCCATGGCAACGTAGAATTTTTCCACTTTCTTTACATGTTCAATTGAGACCTTCATAAAATTATAAATGAAAGGACACATTATAAGCACTTTCTTTGAAGGGAGAAAAAAAAGGGTCTTGCCTGAAAGTGAAATTTTTGGAGTTTATATTCTTCCCTTAGAACACTTGGGAACTTTCTCTGCCAACAGCAAGACCCCTCAAAGAGCTTGTCTTGGCCTTCAGAATTCAGAAAGGTAGAACCACCATGGTTCCCTGATTGTGGGGGAGGCACTGGGCACCAGGAGGAGACTGGAAAGTACTGGGCTCTGTGTTCCTGTCCCTCAGGGACTGAGGTCAATGCTGCTGGGCTCCTTGGCTCTGCCTTCCTCCCACGTTCCCTCCCCACCCCCACCCCCCAGGGATTCACTCCTGTTTACATTGGGGAGACTGCAACTTTGTTCTTTAATGTTTAAAAGAAGTTTAAAAGCTTATAAAAAAGCTCTTAAGATTTCTTGGACACCAAATGCCTCTTACAGAACAATATTTTGATGAGTTAAGTGTAAATGAATCAGAAACCTATGTATTAAATTTCCTTTGACATAGACATCAGTGTAAAAAACTAATGGAAAAAGTGCCAGGGGCTCAAAGTGTGTGGGGTTTTCTCAAACCCAACGTGTTTGAACATAAAGAGTGGAAACCCATTTGAGCCAGCCAGGTCTGCTGGTTCCCACCCTCACCCCCATCCCACCTCCCCCCCGTTCCCCCCAGAACCCTAGTCATAATTATGGCAGGAGCAGCATTTCCGGGTGGTGACCACCGGCAAGCAGCTGGCTGGGGATATGTCACATTCCTGGTCATCATGCCTGTGTGACGGCAGAAACCAAAGACTGGCTGATACTGTGGAGATGTGCAGCCACTGCTCAAGTAGGCTGACCCTAAAAGCTGTCTTTTGCTTTTTAAGGCATAGGCAACTAAATAAACGATCAGCAAAGATCATAAATCACTGACAAAGGTATTCAGATTTGAAGCAGACATAGAAAACAAGAGATGCCACGTTTGTCACTCAAAGATTGACTTAGTCCTGGGTCCCACAATTGTGGATCCCAGGACTTCTGAGGATAAAGGGCACAAGGGTCAAAACTGGAGAAGCAGGATAGTTTTGGTGGTGTTGTGCTTGTGTGTGTTAATGCAGGTTCTGACTCTAAACAACACCCACAGAAACAGAAATAACCAAACATTTTGAAGCCATGCTTGATCCCTAAAATAATTGTTCTTCTGGCTTTTAAAAAGGAGTTCTTCATTTCTGTTGATTTGGTTATGTGAATGGGGCGACACACTAGGTGAGCAGCTAACAGGAAGACCGAGGCAGGTTTTGCTTCTGTCCTCTTGTGCCCCATAGGAGACCTGACCTACAGGGATGTGCATCACAGACATCACAACTGTGAGCAACTGCTAACGTTTTGGTGAAACATGTCATGTGTCCAGTGCTTCACAGCACTACCATGCTCCCCAGGAGGGCAGTCTTAGGAATCTTTGTCCCCAGCACTAATCACAGGATCCAGCAAGGAGGGATCATACTTTCAAGCTTCGGCCTCAGTTAACTGATTCCCCAGTTAAGTCTCATTCCGCGAAAGCTTTCTGTGAACCCCAATGAGCTGTTGTTACTATTATTTTTCAGGTTCACACCCTCTGTCCTCTTTAGGAGACTTTGCAGTCTCCAGTGGGTCAGAGGAGGCCTGGAATGACCTCCAGCACAGGAAGGGTGGAGGGGCAAGAACGCCTTCGTCGGATGGATTCATGCCTTGCTCATCCTTTCCCAGGCAAGCGCTCGCTCAAAAGCTTGGCAAGGCCTGGTGGGTGGGGAAGCAACCCTCACAGAAACATGCCCTCTTCCATCCAAAGCATGTGCTGAATGCATGTCTGTTGACTGCATGAGTATGTGAACAAATAGTAGCTCTTTCACGGGGCAGCTGTAGACAAATGAAAAGTTAACAGACTGACAGAGACAGGCATGAGACAAACTCCCTGCACCTCTGGTAGCTGCCCTCTTCCCCGCTGACAAAAGGCCTCCTCTCTCCACACAAAATTGTATTAGGGTTCCATGGGAGAGAGGAGAAGCTAGATAGCAATGAAACACCCCAAAGAGAGCAAATGGAAGATTCCTACGTCTTTTTTGTACTTTTCTGCTGGTCACCAGTTCTTGAAATCTCCTCAGTCTTTAAAATAGAAGAAAGAGGAAAAGCAATGAGAAGAACAGCTTCATGGGAACCAGCAGACACAAAAAGACTCAGAAAAATAGAGGCACCAGAACAACTGATAACAAGTCACATTTGCTCTTGGTGAGATCTGGGGACTGAGAAAACGTTATCAACTGGGAATAGAACAGACGTCAGAAATAACCGATTCCAAACTGTTCTCTCACACTCCTTTCTCAGGACAAGGATAAGGACGAGGACATGCAGAAACAAATGGGCATTCCTACCACCTAGTGACCGCTTTGCATCCCGAGTATTGAGAGAACACCATTTGCCCAGGCTGGGCCTCTCTTGTTCCACCTGAAATTCAGGATCAAGATGCTTGACAGCCCTGTAAGCTTTTTTCAGGTAGGTGAAGGAGCTAGAAATAAAAAGCATTCATGTAGCCACTGCTGCCCCTGGGTTTTGTATAAATTTGGAGGCTGTTAGTTTATCCTCAAAAAGCTCTGATGCTTGTTCCTGGGGTTTTTGCCCAAACCTTCACATCCTGTGTCTAGGGGGTGAAAACTCATTTTAACACTAGTTGAAACCTGCCCTCCCCTAGGTGAAATACAAGCAGAATAAAAAGAAAGTTACATTTTAAGGCCAAGAAGATAATCCCATTGCTCAGCTCTCCCTGGGACTAACTGTAGCCAAGGGATTCTGGCTTATTTTCATTTGCACATTTGCTGAGCAGAAGAATCACAGAAATGAGGTCCAGAAACCTCAGCCAGTGCTTGACAACTTTGGGGACTTGGATGTACACCCCCCTCCCTCCCCCACCCCAGTCCAGGGCCTGTTGTGAGAGTGCACAGACTTGATCCCCTTTCCTTTGATATGGAACCTGTGCCTCCAGTAGGCTCTCAGGGCTAAAGAAAACAGCCCTTTCAGAATTTGATTCGCCTCCTGCCCTGGCAGCTGTTAATCTGCCACCAGCCGCTGCCACAATGTGGCTGCAGTGCAGTAGGTGTCGTGGGGGTGAATGGCAGGGGTTCTTTCTTCTTTGGGTTTGATACATCCTTCCTTCCTGCCGCTCCTTGCAGTCAACCTCTCGAGAAGGAGGGAAGCAGGCAGGAGGGAGAGCGGGAGACTTCCGGAAATCTCTTTCGTCCCTCGCCTTCCCAGGCTGCCCGATAATGACCCTGGAGACGTCCACCTGCCCCCAGTGAAGGAATTGGTTACTGTCCTGGAGCCCTCCCCAGCACTCCCCCTTGCTCACTTCCTCCTCTTCCTGCCTCCAGCCTCTACTCCTCCAGCCTCCTGTGGCTTCACAGCCAAGTTCACCATCTCAGGAAGAGTGAGTCGGAGCTCAGTAATAGTGAACTTTCAACGCTTCACTCCACACTGCTTTCCCTTTCCTGGTATCATTTGTGAATCTAGAAGCATGAGTGTAGTTGCAAAGAGAGTTTGTAGCATATTCTTCCTTCTGTTAATAAATAATAGTAATAATTACTAATAATTCATGTGTGCTGGGGGAAAGAGCTTTTTAATGTATGTTTTTAAACTACCTTAGAATTGGTTTGTTTTTAATGTACGCTCTCTTTCCCTGGGATCTAATGTAAAGCCTAAACTTGGTGTTCTGCAGCTTTGTAAGAGAGCAGGAGGGGGACACCCCTGCATCACCCACTCACCAGTCTTGCAAGCACTAGCTTACTAGCTTGTTTGCTCTTCTCCAATCTCTGCAGCCAGAAAGCAAAGGCTGATGATCATTCTCAATTCTCAACTGACATGCCCCCCCATGCCTGTAGCTAACCCCAAGGAAAGGCACTGGTATTTAGAAAAAGTTTGTTGGTACCTTTATTCCTTTTTGCTTCTTTTATTGGAAGAATCTTTATGGCTGGGAGGCAGGTACAAACCTGTGGCAGTTGAGGTCTTTTATTAGAGTACTTATGGTGCTTCTGATTCTCATGGAATCAACCCCTGCATTGCCAATTACATTTATTTTGTTTCAGGGTCACAGATCACACCCCTAATCCCAGCCACTTGTCTCCCCAGTGTGTGTTATAAGGGGCCCGGAGCAAGAAAGTATAGATGGCCCAACATTCCCACTACTTCTGTTGGAGAAAAACAACTCAGAGGGCACATCGCACAAAGAGCAGGCCACGGTTAGAGGCCGGCATAATTGCAGTCGCTAAATTAGCATGAGTCGCTCAGCCAGGGGCTAATCTAAGCCAGACCCCATGTCACGTCAGGCCATGAGTACATCAACATCGCAATTAAAAAGAAAAGAGAAAAATCACCTTTGCTTCCCAAATGTTTATTTTTAACATGGCAGGTCCTTAGTGATAAAATGAGATACTAAGGCATCTGGAATAAGCAAGAAATGTAATTTGTGTTAATAATCTTGGAAAGGCTAAAGGATTTTAAATATATCTCCAGGGCCTTTGCATGCTCCCCCGTCTCTCTGTCACATCTGCCACATCCTTTCCACCTCTGCTGCAACCTCTTGTTGCTGCCTAAGATCTCAGCCATGCACGGTCTCCCTGTGTCCGCTGCTTCCCCTGCATCCTCCTGTTGACTTTCCTGACCTGGTTGGGCTCTTCCCCCAGGTCCCTTTGACAGGCCATAGTTCTTAGATGCTCCAAGTTTGGCATCTTCTTCTCTCTTTAGGTCCTCCTGATATCCATCAGGCCCCATGCTTCTGGCTGCACTCCAATGCTGAGCTTTTACCCCTCACTTCTACCTGAAGGCAGAAATCAAGTCTGGGACCCAAAACACATGCACTTATGGGAAAATGTTTCCCCTGTAACAAACATGCATTGATTTTGCATTCAAGAAAAATTTTGTTTTAGTTTACTTTCAAAAATCCAATATACAAACACACCAGGCTTTGCTTCTCTTCATTTTCAAACTCTTTTCACAGCCCGCGAAGCCTGGATTTGCTGGTGCAGTTTGTCATTGAATTTGCCACTTGAGTTTCTCAAATCAAAGTGGGTATCAGAGACCCACTGTGTTTTTTTCTACAGGTCACATCATATTACAATGTTGCCAACGACTTGTTTCTACTTTGCATGGTTTTATTTTTGTTGGGGACTACTGCTTTGATAAAACTTAGGCTTTTTCCTGGCTAGGACCTAGTAAACCCTCTGGTTATAGTGCAGTAAATTTTGAAAAACTTGGCCAAAGTTTGGGCTCTACTGGAATTTCACCTTTTTATCAGCAGGACCATAGAGAACTTTTGATCTTACAGAGAAACTCATTGTAATAGGATTTTTTTGTGTGTTAATATACTGATTTAATAAAGACATTTGGCACCTGAATAAGACTTTTGTAGACCATTTTGAACAATGAGAGGATTAGGATCAGCCTATAGGGGTTATTGGGAAAAATGTCTTTTCTAGATTTAGTAAAACTCTTCCATCTGTCTGGAGATATATTCATTACTCTTAACTAAAAACCCTCCTGAAATAGACGTGGTAAAAAAAAAGTTCTGTCCCCGTTATGAAACTTTTTAAACAAATTTAAAATTGCTTAGAAACAAAAGGCAGGAGGAAAGAGAACGGGCCCTGTCTCCAGGTAATGAGGTCCTGCCTTTGTGTTTTATCTGCAAAACAGAACGGTTTGAAAAGTCTGGATCCCATTTCATTTGAACTGAACATAAATGTAGTGCCTGGAATTCTCCCAAATGAATAAATTCTTTGCTGATAATTTTTAAGTGAAGAAAGATCAACAGGATAGGGGCAATAGGGAGGATCAGAGGCTGCAGGGTGTGTGTCCGTGTGTGTGTGTGTGTGTGTGTGTGTGTGTGTGTGTGAGAGAGAGAGAGAAAGAAAGAGAGAGAGAAAGAGAGAGAGAGATGGGGTTGGGGTGGGGCAATCAAATATAAATAAAAGAATACAAAACCTCATTTAATGTGCCCATTAGTTTGGGGGTCTTTGTACTTAGAACAATTGGGAGAGTTCTGGACGCAATTTTTTTCCTTTTCCTTTTTCAGTGTGCCATGCTGAATTTTCTCTTGGAATACTACAATAGATTTATTTCCTCTAAAAGAACCCCTGCTGTCTCTTGCTCATGTTAAACCCTGCCATGTTCCCCTCCTGAGGACAGCAACACAACAAACCTCCATTCCTTCCAGCAGCATCTAATCTTCTCTCTGCTTCTACAGGCTGAGTTTTCTCCCCTGGATGGAGGCCCAAAATGACGCCAATTTAGGGCAGGTACAAAGATACACCGTGGAACATTTCTCTCTTGATTTTCCCCCAGTTCGTGAGGTCTTGCTGAGCACACTCGCAGCTTCTGTAGCAACAGAGACGACAGAAAGCCATGAGGTCACCACTGTGTCCACTCTCAGGGTCGTTACCAAAGAAGGAGCCAAATACTTTGTTTATGTAAATCTGTCTACCAAGTCCTGAGAAGTTCTGCAAGGAACTCATTCTCCTTCGGGCTTGTTGGTCTCATTTAGCTTCTTTGTTTGAAAAATGAAGGAAAAAGAAAAGACCACTGAGTCTCTTCCTCCTTTGGCCACTGGAAGAAAGGTAGAGAAAAAGGAAAACAAAAATTAACAGAGAGAGGACACATGTCCCTCCTCCTTCCTTCCCCTCTCCCCATCCACAGGCAAAAATCTAATAAAGATGATTAAATTACATGTCTTTTCCTCCCATTGAAATCCACTGCATACTATTCAAATATTGGAACTCAGGAAATAGAGCAGGACAGGGTCCTTCATGAAACCTTAGAAGGCAGCACAAGGGTCTGAGCTGGAGGTCTGCTTGGCTGGGCGGCTCTAATTAAGAAATCACCCCGCTGAGCAGAACTTAATCTAAATAAAATATAAAAAGGAATTCAGGAAAAACCATTACCTCCTCCCCACGCACCTCACGTCCAGAGCCCCGGTGCCCCTCAGTCCTGGGAACTCTTCCCTCCCAGTACTGGGACTTCTGTGTTGTTCTCTGGCCCACAGTACAACCGAGTATAAAGACTCTTGAAGAGGAAGCTGGGTCTCGTGCCGGCCTCTTGCTGTTTGGCCAGACTTTTTCAGAGCCAGAAGCAGATTTAGTCAATGCTGTTTTGCTTTGGAGGGGGATGGGGCCTAGGATTTGATCAGGAATTGATGAAAGAATTGGACATCTGGCCAACTCCTCTAGCTTTGCCAACCCATAACCTCTCTGTAGGGTGGCTGAGTTCTTGCCCGTCCATCAGCTGCTTTTGATGGATTGGCCACTTGAGAGCAAAGACCAGATACATTTAACTTGGTTTGTTCAATGTCCTTGTACACATTAGTGCTTTAAACTATATAGAGTCAGCTTCAGACCCCTGCTGTCTGGGGTCCTGGGTTATCCCTGGGTCCTGGGTTATCCAGGTCCTGGGTTATCCCTCTGATGATGAGTAACATTTGTTTATGCCTCATCTCTGTCCATACCCTCTAGGAACCTGTTTTGTATTTTCACTATTGACCTCTATCAGTGTGTTATTCTCTCTTACACCTTTGTGGCTTTCCACAGGCTGGCATGTCTGCCCGCAATAGTGATTCTTAAATTGTTGAGAACCTGTTGAAAGGGATAGACCCCCTTCAAAGGGGAAAAAATGCACATATGTTGTATAAACACAGATTTTGGCAAAGAATTTCAGGGAGACCTGAACCCTCTGAAAAGTCCATGGCCACCAATTTAAGCACCATGGAAAGATTATCCTTTCCCTCTTTTCTCTTCTAACAAAGACTCAAAGATCTTCTCCTTTGAACTTGAGACAGGCTTTTGTTTCTAACCAGGTCCAACCTCAGGCTCTGTCCTTGGACCATTTTGTCTAATTTTAGCAAGAATCCTGCTGGATCAGTTTTGCAAAACTCCCTCACCCTTATTATCTGATCAAATTCTCTATCACCCTGACCAACTTTCTGCAAAAGTCCTGCCAAGTTGGTTTAGCCAGAATCTCCCTACTCTTGCTGTTTCTACTTAGCAATTTTCCACCAAATGACCCCCCCATCCTGCTCCTCGGCTATAAATTTCTAGTAGTGCCTGTCGTATTCACAGCTGAGCCCAATTTCTCCCCACCACCAAACATAAAATGTTGTTGTAGGAGCTCATCTTAAATAAGTCATCCTTACCATTTTTAACAAGTACCACAAGTAAGTTCTCCTTAACACTTCTCATTTCAGGAGAGCCCTTGATTTCCTCAAGGAGAACTCCAAAAAGCCTTCCCTGGCCTACCAGAAAGCTATGAACAGAACTCCCACCTCTGTGCTTCTGATGACCCTTGCCTCTAAGTTGAGTATATCACATATCACAATGCAGTAGTTATTTGTTTGCATGTCAATCTTCCTGTAGGCCAGGGGTGGACACACTTTCTCTGAAAGGTCTAGGCAGTAAATATGTTAGGCTTCATGGACTATGCGGTCTCTGTGGCATCTATACGACACTGATCCAGTAACAGAACCAGCCATAGACTCATAAATCAGCGGGCATGGGTATGTCCCAGCAAAGCTTCAGAGGCACCACAATTTGAATTTCATATCATTTTGATGTATCACAAATTATCCCTCTTTTGTTTGTTTTTTCAAACATTAAAAAGTACAAAAACACTCTCACCTCACAAACTGTACAAAAAGAGACAAGGGAGGGGCAGATTTAATCCACAGGACATAACTTGCTGACCCCTGGTCCAGACTGAGTGGAGGCCCTCAGCGGTAAATCTTAGTCATTTTTTAGTTTCATTATCTAGTTTCTCAAAAGTAATTCCTCTTAGAGTGTCACTAGCTATCATTAACTGATGCATAAAATGAGTGAGCAAATAAACAACCACATAACCAGTTGACTACAAAAATTTCCTTGGGACAGATACTCAGTAGAACAACCATGACTGTGACTTTGGGGACCCTTCAAGGGTCCATGTTTCTTTATAATTAGGGATATAGTATCTTCAGTGAGCTCCCAAGGTTCCCATTATAAATTCTGCAAGTCTAGGACTATTCTAAAAATCACTAGTAGATGCCAAAATCTTCTAGAGTTGTTCAATATCCACATAGTCAGAAAATACCTCCTTTTAAAGATTTCTTACACCATTCCCTGCTTTGACAGAACTATGACCTTAACCTTTATGTGGTACTCAGCTTCTGACATAGTGATTCCTACCCCCCGACCCCAGTATTCAAGCCACTATGTAATCCTCTCTCTCTGAGTTTGGGCTGGACCTACTGACTCACTTCTAATCAATACAATCTACAAAAGTGATGTGCTGTCACCTCCAAAATTAGTTTATGTAAGATGGTGACTTTGGTTTTGTCATTAAACTGTCTATGGCCTTCTTTGCTTGCACTCTGGTGGCAAGCTGCCCTGTTGGAGCAGCCATTGTGGCAAGGAGCTGAGGGTGGCCTTCAGCCAACAGCTAGTGAGGAACTGAGACCCTCAGTCCAACCAGCATCAAGGAAATGAATCCCTACAATAACCACATGGGTGAACTTAGCAGCAAATCTTTCTCAAGTTGAAGCTCCAGATGAGACCACCAGAGAGTCTAGGCCAACATTTTGATTAGTCTTATGAGAAAATTTAAAGCAGAAGACCCAGCTAGGCCAAGTACAGATTCCTGACTTACAGGAACTGTGCAAATGGTACATGTGAATTATTTTAAGCTGCTAAGTTTTGGTGCAATGTGTTATGTAGAAATAGATAACTAATACATATACCTATATGACAACTGGATGTATATTTACTCATTTCCCCACGAAAATGTTAAGTTCCTCCAGGGTAGGGGTTAGTGACATCATACTCATCTTGTCCCATAGTAGACAATTACACAAATGTTGGTTAAATTGACTTGTATTTTGAGTCCCATTGAATTCAGTTCATTGAAATAATAGCAATGATATAAAAATATGCATCAGTGGACAGATGAAGCAGACAGTTGGTTAGGGCAAAAAGTTTTTGAAAATTGTGAGAGAAAAAAATTTGACTTTATATCTATGGTATCCAAACTTTTAGAGGGGTTTCACTTACCTTCAAAAGACTTCAAAGTTGGTACCACCTAACACTAAAAAGATCTTTGCCATCACTGACCCAACCATACCAACTTCCCTGTTGGATGCTCAGTCTCATTATTTAAGCAATTCTCCTCCCTTCCCTTCCTTAACATTGTATACAGGCAGTGAGAAATACTCTAGGGAGAGAGGAGAAGATCGAAATAGAGAGAACTATAAAAAAGTTGGGGAAAATGGAGAAGAGGAAAGAAAACAAAGCAGAAAAAAGAAAAGAACATCAAAACACCTAAGCCAAATCTAGAAAAATGTTTCAAAAGAAAGCATCTGATTTTCCTCTGTCTAGTCATAAATATTTTGACAAGGGGTTTGGCATTTATCAAAAAGGAAAAAAAGAAAAACAGAAGTTGTCTTCCTGAGGACCCAACACTCTTGGAATTCAATGACCTAATTCTGTATAAGGTTGCAGAATGGAGATTGCCACTCTTGTCTGAGTCCCAAGGCATCGAGCCCTCTGTTTTCTCAACAGCACATGGCGCACCCCTATCAGAGTTTAGGAATAAAGAACAGAGGATGTAAGAGAACCGTCTGGACACTATGTTTAGAAAACATATTTTTAAATCACTGTGGATTCTCATGTGCTATCTTACTGTTTGCTTATCGTAGAAGTTAAGTCAACTTTTCATTACTTTTGCAGACATTATATAATATCTTCTTCCCCCTGCCCCAGTCACCAGCTGTTAGTGAGCCAGACTCATCCCAGAATGGGATGGGGGTTGGGCTGCTTGAGCTGAATGACTTGCATGCTGACGTTTGAGGGAACTGATTCCCAGCCATTGAACAAACCTAAATTGTCTACAATTATCACAGAACTAAATAGATCTCAAGAAGGAAACCTGAAAGTGTCCAAAGGTCAAAGCAGTTTGAACTAATTATTTTAAGCCTAAATGTTCTCATCTGTAAAGTGGGACAATAATAATATGTGCCTCATAGGGTTGTTTGGGAGGTTGAATATGTATAAAAGCCTCAGTCTACTGACATTTCAGGGGGGAATAATTCTTTGTTGTGGGGGCCCATCCTGTGCATTAGAGGAAGTTTAGCAGCATCTCTGGCTTCTACTTACGAAATGCCAATGACACTGCCACCTACATGCCACCACCCCTCCATCACAATACTCAGAGATACCTCCAGGCATTTCCAAATGTCCACAGTGGGGCAAAATCACCCCTGGGTGAGAACCACTATTCTAGTGTTTAGCACATAGTTATTTTTCTGTAAACATCAAATGTTATTTTTATTTATCATTAAAATTATTACTAACAGTAACATTACCCTGCTGAGGTAACAGTCTATATTCCATTGAATGCTTGAAGTAGTGGCTCTATGTCTGCATCCTTTCAAAAGAAAGGACTAAAAGGGGGAAGATCATGAATTTAATGACAGTCAAATAAGAAACCTACTCTTTCCTGTGAAGCCTTCTTTCATGCAAGGAAAAAGGGCTGCCAATTTTTCCTGCTTTGGGAACAAGGCATATGCCTTAGCCACATAGATTGTGAGA